GGTTCTGTGAGATGAAATGACTGAGCAGTTGCTGAGGAGTCAGGTGGGATACTGACAGAGAGGCTGTCTGAACTCAATTGAGACCAAATTTGGGGTACCTGAGCAGGCATATTTATAGGGCAAAATGTATCCAGATAGATTTTGGAATTAAAATGAAGTTTCCAGGAGAGAAGAATAAGAAAGAAACTTGTAAATGGCCATACAGTCAGTGCAAATATCTCTGGTCAAATAAGTATTTCCTCCAGGGAGAAGTGTACTTGGTTTTCTGTTATTTGTAAGCACAAGGTTTATCACCCGCTTTTACTCCTATCAATTAAAAAATTATGCAGATTCTGATCTTAATTGATCTTAATCCCTCATGATGACCCAGTTGAATCTCCCTATATCATGGCTAGCCTGCGTAGCCATGAAACCCACTGGGTGACATTAGGCAAGTCACACTCTCTCAGCCTCAGGGAAGGCAATGGCAAACCTCTGAACAAATCTTGCCAGGAAAACTCCATGATAGGTTTGCATTAGGGTCAGCATAGGTCGGAAATGACTTGAAGGCACACAACAACAACAACAACAACAACAACAGTAAAAAACAAAAATAACACATCCAAGCTCTGAGTTTGTTTGTTTTTCTAAGTAGATAATTGATCAGTATGGGAACATGATACCACAGCACTTAGCTCCATCAAATATCAGAACTACACTCCACTAGTGTAGAAATGCTAAACCCCTTACAAGCCAATTTAAAGAAATATCAGTATCTAATTCCTAGCCTTGTATATGTCTGGGTGAATCATTATATCGTTTGATATGGCCCTGTGAGCACCATTATTAGCTGTTACTATGGCTTGTTGCATGATTAATAGAGCTGAGTGAATTGCTCCAAAAGCTCAGTTAGTCATTCTTCACTGAGAGATAATAATTAATGGTTAATGGGAACTAGACAGTGAGTTTAGTTGTGGAACATAAATGCCTAATGAGGCTGATTTGAGAACCAAAGATAGAAATAGTTTTATTTTACAGGTGTACCTCTGTTAACAGAGCCTCTGACAAAGAAGCTCCTTTTTACAAAGTGTTAGTTTGTGCACAGAATCCTCTTTCACACCTTGTCGTTTGTCTACCTGGAAGTTTGGGGTATTTTTTAAAAGCAGCATTGGTACTGTAGGAATGGGGAAGGAGGCCGAGAAACAGAAGTTTGGTATCAGGTTTCAGCAGCATGTATGCAGTGTTGCAAACTAGGAAAGAACAGGATTATATTTTAGCAGATCTTACTATATCTGCGTGTGTCTGCCTACACTATACAAGGTAAACTGCAGCTGTCTCCAGCATGCTAAAGAAGCATAGATCTATAAGCTTGACAACCAAAATGGAAATCCTAAGAAAACTGGAGGTTGGTGAAAGAAGTAGTCACTCATGCATGTATTTAAGAAAACTCCTTGAAGAGGTCTCTAGAACAATGTCCCACATCCCCTAGGAAATGTTTTATTAATGTTCGTACCCGCTACAAAAATAATATTGTATTTGAAGCTTAAAAAATCTAATTTCTAATCTTTGAATCACAAACTGGATCACATACATGTGAACAAACTGAACTTTAAAAATAATAACCTTTTAACTGAGAGCATAAAACACTAAGGTACATTGAACTTTTAGATTCTAATGTATTCAGAAAAACCAGTAAAATCAATCCCAACTGTGAACACAACATTCAATTAATTCTTTGCTCCTGCTTCTCATTAATGATTTTGTCAAAAAGTGGAACTTTCTTGCTGACTGTGGATTGAGGCAATTCCTAGATTTTTTTTGTCTTGATTGACAAAAGAGAACTGAATCCAAATTCATCCCCTACAGGTGCAAAAAAGACACACTGACTCAACTTGACTTGAGATTTGTATATATTTAGCGACTCACTTGCTGGTGCCATTCACTTTGAGCAGCAGGCAAGTCCTACTCCCAAAGTGTGGGGGACATTGATCAGAAGGGAATAGCAAATGTGTTAGGCAGTGGGTTCGAGGCAGAAGGATACTTTTTGAAAGCTTTTGGAAATTTTTAGAAGAATGTGTGCAGCAGGGACAGGTTGCCGAGCAGATCTCAACCGCCACCTCAATCCCATTGTCTAATGCATTTGCTGTTCCCTCTGAGAAACACATTAGGCAATGGGCCTCCTTTTTTCTGTTAAAAGTTGACTCCCAGACTAGAGACTTGAGTTGAAAGTATCTTGCAAGGACTTGAGACTTGACTTGAGGCTTGAAGGTAGAAACCTGAGTCTTGACTTGAGATTTGGACTAAAATACTTGAATACATCAATGCTAGGAATGCATCTACTTTGTTAACTGAGCTGTACCTGTACCTGGAAACAAAATTGTGTGGCATTAAAGAGATCAAGTTTGAAATTTACTTGGAGGAGAATTAGATTCCAGGCAAGCAAATATCCAGCACTCTCCATGGATGCCCCAGTCCTAACATCCAGCACTTATTTCTCAATTCATCCTTTCTTGAGACTTTTGCTCCTGCAGCTCTGCCATTCTTATCCAACCCCATTTGTGCAGGGACAACCTCTTTTGGCTAAAGTAGGGCCAGTGCATGTGATTTAACTTCTTTGCCACCTCACTGTGTTCAGTGGTCACAATGATGTTTGGGTAGTCTTAAAGACTAATACTTACTTTGGGCCTCGGCAGACGACTAATTGGGTCGTCTTCCGGGCCCGGAAGAGGAGGGGCAGCCGCACGTTCGGCGCCCCTTCCTCTTCCTGAGGTCGCCCCGGAAGCTGCCGGCCCTCCGCACGTCCGGCGCTTCCGGGGCAACCTCCCTCCGCAGCGACCGGACGCGCTGCGGAGGATAAGACAGCGAAAGTGCGCCCGCCGCTTTTAGGGCGCACTTTCGCTGTCTTGAGGAAGGAGCGCTGATTTAGCGCTCCTTCCAGGGACGCTGCCAGTGCGCCGAGATGCGGAGGCTGCGGCCCCGCGGCGTGCCGGTGCAGGGCGTCCTGGACGCCCTCGTCTGCTTCCCCCCTTTGTTTACTTCTTATCCTCATCCCCTTTTTAAAAGCTGCTGTTGGCGGAAATCTAATTAAGCCCAAAGGAACTTTAAGTAGCAAAACAATCTCAAAATAAAAGCTTTGTTCTTAAGCAACACTACCATATGAAAACTGTGCCCTAGTTTCAAGACTCCAGACATTACTAGATCATGTCCCTTGGCAAAGCTTCCGGATGGATGCAGACACTGCTAGCAGAGCAAAAGTCACACTATGGCTGAACCTGTGATTGAGAGCAGACTTGTGTGGCTTTGATGAAAAGATGAGAAACATTGGACTTCGGGTCTTTCTGGCTCAGATCTTTTACCTCTGCAATTCCTTGCTACTTTTAATCTTATAAATACACACTATGTAGTATTTATCAAAAATAATCTTTTTCTCTTTTCTGCCCCTGGTCAATTACTGGCTTTATTGTGTCTCTGTTTCACATTGGGAAGGTAGAAAGATGCCTTTTAAGGATTTTCTCACAGAAAAATCTCATGTATGTCTAGTCTGAACTAATTCCCATTGAGTTCAATGGGATATACAAGTGTGTAATTGTAGCTTAGTGGTTTAAGTGTTGGACTATGACTCTGGAGACCAAGGTTCAACCTTGGGCAAGTCACGCCCTCTCAGCCTCAGAGGAAGGCAATGGCGAACCTCCTCTGAACAAATCTTGCTAAGAAAATCCCATGATAGATTTGCCTTAGGGTCACCATTAGTGGAAACAAACTGAAGGCACATGACAACAATTTGATTGCAAACTCAAAGGGGTTGCAAACTGCCAGAAATAGTGCAAATTGAGTCCACTTTAAGGTTAGGGTTAGTGCTAGGGAGTCATGGGAATTGGTTTTTTTTCTGAGACATTGAGCCTTCTCTGTCAGAGAGCTCTGATGCCACAATAAAATACAGTTCCCATGATTCCCTAACCCTAACCCTAAAAGTGGACTCAATTTGCACTTATTTCTGGCAGTCTGCAACCCCCGTCAGACCCAAATCCAATAACTTCTTCCAGCTACATTAGACCCATTGCATCAATTGTTAAATGATAACATTTATTCAAATCCTGTTCATTCTATTATAGTTCAGACATTGTGACTAACAGTTGGATTTGAGTCTTGGCATATTTAAACCTGCAGGCCTATGGACGTTATCACATGGGGGAAATCTGCTGGTTAATCCACACAA